CTATATCGTCGGCAAATCGAAGGTGAGTGATGTACTCGCCATTGATTTTAATACCGTATCCTTTCCAGTCCAGTAGCTTGAAAACGTCTTCCAACGCAGCGGTGAAGAGTTTCGGGGGATATAACATCACCCTGTCTTACACCTCTCTGCAGTTCGATAGGTTTCGAACTCTGGTTCTGTACTCGGATAGCCATCGTAGCCCTACTGTACAAACACTTCAGCACTTCGATGTACCGACAGTCAACTTGGCACCGCTGAAGGGACTGTAGCACCGCCCAAATTTCGATGGAATCAAAGGCTTTCTCATAGTCCCCATATGCCAGGCAAAGTGGCAGATGGTACTCTTCGGTCTTCTGTACAATCTGCCGCAGGGTATGTATGTGGTCTATGGTACTGAAGCCTTTTCGGAAACCGGCTTGTTCGGGAGGCTGGAAGTCGTCGAGTCTGCGTGCGAGACGATTCGTAATGACTCTCGAAAATAGCATGTAGACGCGGCTCAGAAGGGAAATCGGTCTGTAGTTCTTCAAGAGAGCGTTGTCGCCTTTCTTAAAGAACAAACCCACCGCGCTTCTGCTCCTCGCCTCCGGAGTAGTGCCACCATGGAGGACGGAATTGAAGAGCTTCCAAAGGACTTCAAGTACCGGTTTTCCACCCGCTTTCAGAAGCTCCGCTGTAATTCCATCCTCGCCTGGGGCCTTGCCGTTTTTAAGGTGGTGGAGAGCCATTCTAATCTCGCTCAGACTGACGTCCGGGATATCATCGGAATAGTGTCGGATAAGACTTGCTCTTGGATCGTTACTCACACTTGCGTGTGGCTCCAACGATGATGTGTACAGCTGCCCATAGAACCTCTCAATCTCACTCAAAATCTCAGGTGTCCCGGAAACGATGTTGCCACACTCAGTCTTCAGCTTTGACAGTTGGCTCTTTCTGGCAGACAGATCTCTGGCAAAGACTTTGGAGCCCTGGTTCCGCTCGATCGCTTCTTTAATATGAGAAGTATTAATGTTGCGTAAGTCTCGCCGCATGCATTTGGAGATCTGTCTGTTCAGTTGCCTGTATGCTGTCAAATCTGTTGACGATTGCAGCCTCATCTCCCGTCTAACAGCCATGAGATTAAGAGTGTGATCGGAGAGTTTTTGTGTTCTTCTGCGGCGGGTCTTGCAGAACTTAGCTCCGACCGCATGGACAGTTTCCACGAGCTTGTCGTTCATATCGTCCCCTGCATTGCAATCTTTTAGGCACTGGAAGCGGTTACGTAACTCGAGCTGAAAGGTTTCGGGATTCTGGATTAGAGCACGAGGGGGACGGAGCGTTGACTTCATTAGACGAGACCTCTCCAACTTAACGTTTAGGTTCAGTGTGCCTCTAACCATTCGGTGATCGCTGCCAGTTTTCACCCTTGCGATCACTGAGACATCACTGAACAGTTGGCGTCTGGTCGTCATAATGAAGTCAATCTCATTTTTTGTTGAACCGTCGGGGCTCGACCGGGTCCACTTCCTGTGGGGCCGCTTCTGGAAGAAAGAGTTCATCATAAAGAGTCCCTCTTTCTCCATAAAGTCGGCCAGCTGCTGGCCCCTTCCGTTTCCGTTGCCCTACTCCAAATTTCCCTACCTTCAGCTCACCGCTTTCTCTTGTGCCTAGTGTTGCGTTGAAGTCTCCCATCAACACCGTGTAGTGGGTTTTGGAGGAATGTATGGTTCTGGAAATATCCTCATACATTTCCTCCACCTCCTCATCGGGATGTGCCGAGGTTGGTGCGTAAACCTGAATGACCTTCAGCGAATACCGTTTGGTGATTCTGAGTATCAGGTACGCGACCCTCGTCGACACACTCCCAATCTTTACAACGTTGTTGACGAGAGACTTGTGGACGATAAATCCGACACCTCCTTGGGACAGATGGTCGTACTCCCGGTGATAGAACAAGTTGCCGGACTCGAGGATTGCCGTGTCCTCCCCCTCTCTTCGGACCTCGGATAATCCAATAATATGCCAGCGCAAATTACTTATTACTTATTTTTAATAAAAATTACTTTTAATCTGTATCGAAAAAAAATCTATTCCATTCTATTACTTAATCCTACTTCTGTTATGTCTTAATCCTCACACTTAGCATGCTCACTGACGATTGCAGTAACAGAAGTTTCGCAGTTTTCAACGTGCTTCCCGTCGCCTTACGTTGTCGTAAGCAAAATGGTTACAACGCAATCTATCGAAAGGAATAAGATCTTTTTGATATATCCTGTAGTCTTCTCCTACGACACTCACGGCACAAAATAGGATAATGGATACTCTTACCTACTCTTCTGGCATCACATGACGTCTAAACAGTTGCATGCGCATATTAATGTTTTCCAGCACAGTTTTGGTTACGGCGCCCTGCTTTAACTAAGATTAGAGCTTTAATGAAGAGTAGAATCCGGTAGTATATGCGCTAGCACACTCTATTCACTTACTCTCATAATCGAATGAGACGGCTTTTTGATACGACCAATGAAATTACATTTATTAGAGTCTCGGGGTGGAAACACCGTCAGCGAATTATCTTTTTTACGTCAGACGTCAGCTAATAAAACTAACTGAAAATACTGGAGATGGGCAGCAGCGTCAAAGGTGGGGTTTTTTTAAGGGATAGGGTGACAAACGAGCACATAGTCCACAGTGATGGTAAGTGGTTGCTGTGGCCCATAGGCATCTACATCTATTCTCGATTACGAATCAAATTGCAGATGAGTTCTCACCCGTGAGGACTAAGACACAGCGGTGACTCTCTGTACGTGAGAGGTTAAGGTGTATCCCTGACGAAAATGTTGCGAAAGTGCGTTTTACAGACTCTATTATCTCATTAGTTATGAAAAATAAACTATATCTAAAAGCACATTATTAATGTTCGATATCTTATCATCACATTCCACGTTCTAATTTGTGTTTATGTGCTATAAATACATTTAAAATCAACTTTTAAAAAACGACAAAAATTCTTGATTACATCTGTTGCTAAACGCAATGCTGTAATCATTTGAGGATTACACTAATGGATATATAATTTAAAAATCTATATTCTCCGCGTTTTATTTAATTTTTTAAGTTCGTTTTTTCTTTTTAGTTGAAATAATTCCAAAAATTGTGTAAATTCTATGATAAAGGGGCGTGCGCAGAGTGCGGGCGGCATTACGCTGTATGCGTTCGATGAGGTAGTTGTGTCGCTCGTCGCCGTCGCCAAATTTCCGTATTTCACCGCCAAAATTATTTTTTGTGTATCTACCAACCGATGCGCTTACGTGTTTTTTACTATAAAAAGACGTTATGATTGTGTTATTGTGAAAATATAATTTTGTGGATTGATTAGTGCAAATGCCTAAATTCAAGAAGAATAAACTTCGTAAAGATGAATGAAATTCTGTAAGTAATTTGATGTATTATGCAAAGTTCACTTACTTTTATTCCGTTAAATTCCTACGTGTTATTACATAGTTTATTTTTATTTTAAGAGGAGAAGATAAATACCTGAATGCGAATTTGACGACAAAAATAATTATTCAAGTTTACCAATAATTGAAAATGATAATGGGTAAGTCTGGGGCACTTTTGAGTCTTAGAGACTCTTTTAATAGAGTTATAAAATTAAAACCAGAATTTACGAAATTTGATGTGATATTTTTTGTGGTTACCATATTATAAATAATATGAACCTTTTCAAATATATAGCTAAAATATGTATGTAATTAATTTATTATAAGTAATTCCGTTTTGTTGTCATGCACGATATAATATAATTTATTCTTTATTGCAGGCAAAATACGAACAATGACGATACTGCATTAAATGACTTGAGTCAAGAAACCATAGAATTACAGTATACCTTTCTTGGTTCAACTGAAATGGTTGAAGATGTAAAGTTTTGTTTATTTAATTTTTTGGTTTGTAGATATTATGATGCACAAATTTGTACTTACCTAATCAAAATACTTTAGTAGGTATTGTGATTAGGTACACACTTGTGCTTGTGATTAGGTAAAAGATATCTAAGTAAGTATTGTAAAACGCCTTAATTTGACTTACCTAGCCTTATTTTTCCTAAACCGATCATTTGAATTTCATTAGCAGGCTATTAGATCTAGAGTTAAAGTTAAAGTTATAGTCTATATACGTCCCACTCCTGGGCACAGGCCTCCACTCATTTCTGAAAGGGTCCTAGGGCAAGGAATTGTCCACCGCGCTGTTAGCGAACTTCGAATGTCTTCGAAATATTTTTTTTCTTATTTCTCAGACATGCAGGTTTCCTCACAATGTTTTCCTTTACCACTGAGCACGTGGTAAATCAACACCTAAAATTGATTACAATTTCATTGGTGCCGGCGGGGATCAAACCCGGTTTGCTCGCGCACTGGGAAAATTTCAGCGAGAGCTAGCCGTTTGAGCTACCACGGCTCCTCTCCTCTCGAGCTAGAGACTTTATTTTTTTTACGATACGATTTTTGTCGCATGCCAGCGCTTACTTTTGGTTCTGGCAAAAAGTTGTGAAACGTCTGTGAACGTCAGAATTGTGCAAATGTTGGTCGCAGATATTTTACCTGCACTTAAAAATTTTATAAACATAAAAAATTTATTATTTTAATATGTTACTACCTATAATATTAACAAGTTTATTGCATTTTTATTTGAGTAATTTTTTTATGCAATTTATTTATCTACGTCTATTTTTAGGAACCTTTATTTAGTCTGAATCATACATAACACTACATTACTGATTTACTTTACTTATACGTTGTTTTCTTTTTTGCAGTTACAAATATCTTGTGAGGTTGAAAAATACAGTAATGAAAAAATAATAAGAAGAATAATAATTGACGTCAGCCATTTATTTTCGGAATTAATAAAAATTTCAAATCATGGTCCATTAGGTTGCAGCTACATTTATCGGAGAAACACAAAAGGCTTAGAGTCAAAATTTACGTTTAAATGCCAATTATGTAACCAAAAATTTGTAACAGTAAACGATGATTATTGATATATATATATATATATATATATATATATATATATATATATATATATATATATATATATATATATATATATATATCCAATTATTGAAAAAATGGGACAGTGAAAATATTTGTGAAACATGGGAAAGTGTTTCCATAGAAAATAAAATTTTGACTGTAGGACTGTCAACTGTGAAGAACTGTACTCAGATGATGGAGAAGCTTGCACGTCTCCAACCAGCTCCAGTCAATCGCTCGTCCCCATATGATCTCATACCGCATAACAGATGGTCTCCAAGTTACAAGAGCTGGGGTAAAAGCTCTCTGTCATTGGCCGTACTGACTAGACCTTACGCCAACAGACTTCCGTTCTTTACCCGTCCAGTTGATTTCTTCAAGAACGGCATCAATAAACTACCACTGCGCTAGCAAAGATGCATCGATTGTATGGGTGATCAATTTAAATAATCAAAATAAAATATATGGAAAAAGAATTACGTTAACTTATTTCATAAAAAAACGGCAATTTCATAGGTAAATACCTAAAATTAAAATTACATTTTATGATCATTGATCAGTGATCGAAGTCAACTAGTAAGCAGTGATATAAATAAAACAATAAAGATAATAAAAACATGACTAGTATCATCTATGACTAGTACCATCAGTCTCATAGCACTAATAAATAAAAAATTATTATTATTATTGTGTATGTATTAGTGGTTATATATATAATCGGAATCTCGGAAAGGGCTCCAACGATTTTCATAAAATTTTGTGTCCATGGAGTTTCGGGGCCAAGAAATCGATCTAGCTAGGATTTATTTTTAGAAAATGTCTTTGTCCGTGTTTTCAGGCAATGAAAAACTGCTACAATATAAGAAGGTAAATTTTGACACTGTTTTAATGATCGTAATAGCTCAAGTGGATATCGAGCGGTCGTGAAATTGTAATGCCTTGGTTTGTGTCCTGTCTTCTTTGTTCGTTTGTTCGTTGTTGTCCTGCCCTCTTCGCTTGTGGGTAGAGCGCGCTCTAACTGTAGAGCGGGCTCTACGTTCTGGTAGGGCCCTTTCTGGCACTCCACCCACGCCTTTGGTCGACTCCCGAGTAATCTGCGCCTGCGAGACTACTGGGGCTGATGGTGTCGGGGTAGAGGTAACAGCCTGAGGAGGCTGCGACTTTTTCCTGCTCCTCTCCCGCCTCCTCTTCTTAGAGGGCTGCCGTTCTGTGGCAGGGTTGGCGGGAGGCTGTAGAGTCGCCCCGGTGGTTGCCCTTATCTCAGTGGGTTTCACCGTTTCCTTAGGTGTTACGGGTGTGGGGGGGGGGGGCTGGCTGCCTGCCCTTCCCTGTGATGGTAACCCACCCGTCTTGCTGGATGGTAACAGCTTTCGGGCGACTCTGGGGGATCCTTTTAGGGTCCTCCGGGAGTAGCCCCGGTAAGGTAATCCCCTGCCTCCTAGCAGTCCTCCTCAGGACTGGGCAGCGGTGGTCGTTTGCCGTGTGGTTCTTGCCACAATTGGCACATTTGGGTTCCTCTTCCCTACCCCTAGGGCAAAGGCTCGCAATGTGCTCCCCGGCACAGCGCACACACCTCACTGGCCTGAAGCAGTTGGCGGTGGCATGCCCGAAGGCCTGGCATCTGTGGCATTGAGCCGGTCCTACTTTCCTTTACCAGGCCTCGATGACGACCCCTCTCATAAAGAGGAGTTCGTCGATATTGTATAAATTCTGGAGCTGCTCCAGGCTCAGGTGATCTAATTGGGCAAAGTAGATGCAGCCAGGTCTGCCTCTACGTGGTGGGATTGCCTTGACATATTTGATGGGGAAGCCTTTTGCCCTTATGGCCTCCTCTATTGCCTTGTTATCCGTGCCCATAGGTAGACCCCGGATGCCCACTTTGGTGGGCTTGTCCTCCTCCAGGGTATAGCAGTACCAGGACAGCGTTGGTGTTTCCTTGGTCAGCTCCACCATATAGCGCTGAACCGTACGGAACTCGTTGGCACTTTGTGGCGTGAACCGTACGCCTATCCTGAACGGACGGGCATTTAAAGGGTGGCCCAACATTCTGTTGAGCTCCTTAAAATGCCTCGTCCAGTCCGGTAGGCATTCAGCCACTATTGGTGGGTATCTGGTTTTTTCCTGGTCGGCAGGCTTGTCAGTGGGCACTGCCGCCGGTTGTGGGCGTGGTACTGCTGGTGCAGCTACCATATGGGCATAGCTGGTGGATGGTCGTTGACCATCGTCCTGCGGAAGCCCGGACGGATTGGAAGTTGCCACCGGCGATGATCGGCCGGCGGATGCTGCCAGGGTTGCATAGGTGGTCGACTCCCAGCTGCAGGATTCCTCACCTCCCTGCTCATACTGTGCCGAATCTCGGCTACGTCGATCTGGTGATATAGAGCGAGGGGGGGGTTGTGGTGGAGAAGGCGACTTCGGTGGTGATCTAAGCACCTTCTTCGTTGTCGCCACCTGATGGTACCTTTCATCTTCTGATGAGGATGGAGCTTCGTCTGACGACAGCTGGGAGCCTATCCGTTGCCTCTTCTCGAATAGAGAGGCTTCGGTCTCTGGCGGCGTGTGGCGTCTGGCCGTTTTCTTGGCCCGCTGTTGTTGGGGCGACGGTTCCTGCCTAACCGTGTGCTCAGACACGGCTGGCGTGAGCGCGACGCCCGTTGCGGGCTCCTTCCGCGGCGAGACGGGTTTCCGCATAGGGATATGGGAGTACGCTGGCACCGTTCTGGTGCGCTCCGGGTTCATCATATCCCTAATTGCTAGTGGTCTCTCTAACACTCCTTTCTTATCCGGCGGTACTCTTGACTTGGGGGGTGGTTCCCCCTTGTCCCTACCCGACATGATACGGTGTGACCTAACTTGTCGGTTGCACTCTAAGTGGCCCTATCTATAAGATGGTGATATTATTAGGTGACTATCTTCACTGTGGGCACTGCCTACCCCTTTTGTAACCAAAAGGGTTGGGGGAAGTGCGACGGTGGCACTTTATGACGCGACTAGGCACAGGATGCTCGGAGCGCATAAAGTGCCAAGAATCACCTAGGGGCCGGTGACCTCGACGCCTCACGGAATCACGGGACTCAACGTGCGGCGGAGTACTGAGACGGAGGAGTGATGACGAATTGCAAGAAAACCCGTTTACTGAGCTACCCCAGAGCTATACGCGAAAGTGAGCCGCGCCATTCGCGCGCTTGCGCAACTCAATTACATGAATTTGTTCTATCACTCTCTCACGGTTTACTTAATAACTTTATTTGCATAAGTCATACATTATCACAATTTACTTGTATAGATAGCGCAAAAAATATCTATACTACGATATACATTACATTTTCATATCACAAAAAACCTTTTATTTATTTAACAAAATATGCCTATTTTACTCACACGTTCGAAGTTGAAATTTCTTAAATATTTAACATAGAAAGTTAAAACAATGTTTTCCCACTTGAAATTATTCATATCTTAACTAATACAATAGTTTAATTTACATTTTTCCTATTCATTTCACTATTAAAACACTTTTAAATTTCTTATACAAAACTATCATTATTTCACTTATTCACAGGAATTTTCACAAAAAAATAACACAGAATTCACTTTTTCTACACGTACAATCAATCTGAAATGTTTCACAAGTCATTTTTACATAAATTGCTGAAATTACAAATATTTAAATTTCTACATATTTGGCCTCCTTAGTACGTGACTAGCGTGCGTCCGTGAACTCACACTATTTGAACAACTAACTTTGCACGGCTATCGACTATCAGAAAAAATGGAAAGTCTAATATATACCAATATCAACAATACTAAGGTAATCAATGCTTTTACACAATTCTCAAACTGTAGGAAACTATTTCTAATCAGATTCTTATCAGTTATCATATCTCTTATCAGATAACAATATAAGTGAATGTTTTCATAAATCAATCATAGCAAATAGGCATTTGTTTTCATACAAAACATATCAAACCCATATAAGACAACACTTATGCTATTAATTTCCACTAATTCTGTTTACTCACAAAGTGATCATCTCGACCGGGGAATAAATCCGATCTCTAACTTTATTTTAATATTCCTTTAAATTTACATCATTGGAAAGATGATTTCAACCGGGGAACAAATCCGGTAACATAATTTATATCTTAAAAATTCCCTATATGAATTTATTAAGAGATATTACTAAGAAAACGATAAATGACTCCGGCCTGGGAGTCGAACCCAAGACCTTCATATCATTAATTCGATATTTCTTTAAGATTCAACTAAGCATTTTCTTATCGGAATATTTTTACTTGATAATTTGCTTTTTAGAAGCTATTCGTAATCGGTTAACTTAATAAATTGAAGTGCGTCAGCACCATCATTTGGGAGGCGTCGCGGATACCAGGACTATTATTCTGGATGTAGGTCTCCTCAAAAAACCTGTGCTAGTAATGACGTCAACCACTCTGGTGTGACCGTCTGGTCCCGGTAGCGTCCTACTAATTTTGCCATTCGGCCACGTATTTCGTGGCAACGATTGATTTATTATCAAGACAATATCACCTTCTTTAGGTTCCATGAACTTTCCGTTATTACCTGTTCGAGGTATTAAAGTAGGCATGTATTCTTTTAGCCATCTTGTCCAAAATTGGTCGGCTAACCTCTGTGCAGATTTACAATTGAGTTGACCCGTCAGATGTTGCTCTAAAAATAATCCAGGTGGTCGATCACCACATGAGCGTCCCAGAAGAAAATGATTGGGTGTCAAACCCTCTTCGGGACTATCCATACTGAATGTTACCAGAGGTCTGGAATTTACAGTATGCTCTGCTTCTAAGAGCAACGTATGCAGAACCTCCTCTCGCGGGCTCCTTTCTTTGAGCGTAGCGGTCAACGCAATTTTAATTGATCTTACTAACCTTTCCCAGGCGCCACCCATGTGCGGTGCTCCCGGAGGTATGAATTTCCATTTAATATGTTTTTTAAATGACTCATTTTTCATGCCCTCATAGCATTCTTC